ATCATATATGGCAGCAATATTCCATGCAAGGGTGAATGGTTAAATTTTTATATTTGAAATATCGATTCAGGTAAAAAAAATTTCCTGGGTGGCACAGACAACCAACTTTTCTTTTGGTTGTTTGAAATTTTCATTAATATCATGAATACTGCAGTAATGTTCTGAAATGCCTGTAAAGGAACAGTCAATGTCCAGGGCAGGGAGTTCCATCAATAGAATCAATGGGCGTCACCAAGATGAGCCCTCAATTTGGCGGACACCAGATGTAGTTTGACCTGCAGGGTGATGAGTTCTGCCCAGCCTACTTGACCAAGACATACTACATGTGAATGTATGCTTCTCTGGTTGAATGCCAGATATATGCTGGAAACTGATTAGCTGTGCAGTGACCCTACGACCACACCCAGTCATGGGACTGATGATGATGATTATATGTATCTATGATGATTATTATATATATATATATATATATATATATATATATATATATATATTGTTGAGATTGTGCTATATTTATCAGGAAATAGTACTCAGTATTTACATATGGTTCTCATCTTTGTGAAAAGTGCACAATGTTGAAGATAAATGGGTTTACAGATATCAGAAGTGCAGAAATGGGAATCAACACTGCATGGTGATTGTCAGTTTCATTGCTCAATGGAATTTTCAGACTATATATTTTTTTTAAGCCTAGTTCAAAAATGTTTTACCAACACCTGAAGATCGTATTGATGCGTGAAACTGATGTGCATTGAATGTAGCTGCCACATCTGGTCTGGTGCTTTTACTATGAATTTAGAGATTTTGATGAAACCTAAATAAGAATCTGCAATGATATTGATCCTGACCTGGCATCACAGCTTCAGGCACATTTGCACTTCCATAACGTAGCTTTTCTATAAATATTTTCATGGTAATTATTATGAGTTTTTCTGTTTGGTAACTCCACTTTATGAATTTAAGTGCAGTACTAGATTGGCAGTTAGGTCTCATCATTTTACAGTTGAAATTGCTAGATGTAACCATAAGTTCTATACTAACAGTTTCTTCTCTCACACTTCTCGCTTGTGGGACCCTCTTATGGCTTCTTGCTTTCCAATCAACTTTGATTATCAAAAATTTAAATTCAATATCAATTATTATATTTTGCTTTCTATATTCCTGTTTTCTCACTCTGTATATATATATATATATATATATATATATATATTGTAAAACTTAACATCGTCTGAAGAGGCAGAAAGTTGCTGTATTGTGTATCAATTTCAACATGCTAAATCTGTATCTAACCATAAGGAAATTGCCTAGGTTTTATATGCAGACAACTTTGTGTCATGACCTACATTAAAAACATTTTCTAGTGAATTTGTATTTCGCATAGGTTACATTCTATTGGTTAATCACGGCAAAGTTCACAAGTCTATTTTTTTTTTAAATATTCTGCTTTTAGAAATTAAATTAATCTTTCACTCGCCAGTAGTTTAACATCGCCTGAAGAAACGCATTCATAGTGTTGAAATAATTGTAATTGTGTACCGATTTTTAACATATCCTTAATATTTAATAATATCCTAAAAAATAAATAATACAATAACTCTGTTATTTAGCATTGAACAGTTTTTCTTACCAAAGGATATATGTATGTATGTATGTATGTATATTTCTATGTGAACATTTACACATACATCTATTCATTTGATATAAATTTGCTCTACTATGTATTGAGCCCTCTTTTAAAATTTAAATTAAATGTTACGAACGTTGGAATTGAACACTACCCGTTCTTACTTATCTGGACATACATACATGGGGTGTAATTTTCCAAGACTTTCCTTAATTTTGGTATGAGCTTTAAAGACTATAGTGCACCTAATGTGGATCAAACTCACTGCACTTTTGATGCAAATTTATTCATTCGTTTTTTTTTATCATGCAGGTCATTTATTATTCACAATAAAATTGATAAACGAACAATGTTCAAGATATGATATCCTAAGAAGAGAGTAGAAAGAAACTGAAAATGAACGAATGTGCATGATGAAGAAAACAGAAAAGAAAAAAAGAAGAAAAATTGAAATGCAACAAAAAACAAAGAATTTGTTACAATGTATTGTAAATCATGCTATTTTTTTATAATTTTATTTAATGCGGGATATTTTACCAAACAACACCGGCTAATATTGTACTTTTTTTTAATTTTAAATTTAAACTACAAAAAAACGTAAGATTTACACTTTTTATCAGCATATATCAACGCATATACATCAAAATTTAAATAACAAACTCAAATTCAATATCCCTTCAAAAACAGTCAAAAAAAACCCAACAAAAAACATGAAAGCTTCAAAAATGGTGTCTGATTCTTTACAGAATAAAAATATGGTTAAGAAGGTCATGGCTTCTCTAGTAAAGACGTTGTCTTCAAATCAATTCTCGCTAAACAAAAACTAATTCGATTTTCTTGACTATGATCAGGCATATAGACCTCGTCTTTGTTCTGCGTTGAAAAATAATAATACTGATTTTATTTGCATGTAAAAAAATCCTTTTATTCACAATATAAATTGTTCAGTTTTTTTTCAATCAAATTCTAAAATGATTTTTTTTTTGTAAATTTACGCTGAAAAAGATAAAAAATATTTTTAATTTTATTTTTTTCTCTCGATGTCATATTTTCAATTTTCATCACGTGTTCGATACAGTATTGGCAGGATGATATTTTTTTTTACATCAGTAGGTCAAGGGTTCTATCCCCCAAAGTGTCAGCATAGTAAAAAAAAAAAAAAGAATGCAAAAAAAATATGTGGAAGAGGAGAAATAAATTATTCAACTAGAGATTATCAAATTAAAACTATGAAAGAGAATAATTTAAATCTTTTAAAATGTAATAAAAATGAATGAATTAAAAAAATAAAGGAATCAAGAAGGGAAAAAAAACAAATAAAAAAACAAGAGGGTTAAATTCTGAAATCAAATTAAAAAAAAAGCAAACTTGCAGGTGAAATTCAGTCTCTCTCTGTACTTAAAATCTGTGATAACCCTTAAATAAATATTCGAAATATATTTAGTAAAAAAAAAATGTGTCATTTAAAAAAGGACAATGCTCATCCACATAATATATGTCAGATTTTAAAATACGAATATATGCTGAAAAGTTCTCGGCCTCACCAAAAAGATCTGGTCAGAAGTGAGTTGGGCCAAGTCCAAGATCATTTCAGCCTTCCCTAGTTTCGTAATCCACTCCCCACCCCTGTCCTTTTTTTTTTTTTTTTTTTTTTTTTTGCTTAGTAGGTTAAATTAATGGTAGATAGGATTGTGTTAATTTTCTAATTGGAAAGAGCTTATAAAAATGGCATTTAAATTCGTCTTGTTCGGTTTGAACATTTAAAATACCCGATAAATAACTTTGTCGTGTCTAGCCACCAAACAAACCCCTAAGAATCATTTAAAAAAATAGTTATATCAATTTTCGCCTTCCGTACAACCACAGGTGAATGACCGCATGCTATCAACTATAAACTATCCAATTAATTAATTATAACTAAATTTTTAGCACAAGTTAATAAGTTAGGGGATGGGCATCGTGAGGTTGGAACTCAGGAGTGGTCTGTAAAAAACTAAAACACAATTTCATTTTTTAGCCATTGCTACATGGCAAAGCTGATCCCTAATTGTGAAATGCAAGAAAAAAAGTTGTTTATTGTATTGATGACTGTGTGATGAAATGTATACTTTTCCTTACAGACCCCAAAAGTTAAATTGTTGGCGGACGTGGGGGGTACAAAGTTTAACAAGTGCTCACTGTTTATTGCATGCTAACAGGCTAATCTTATGGGTTTTAAGTACTTATATTTAGATCTCTCTCTCCCTCGCACAGAGAGAGAGAGAGACAGACAGACAGACAGAGAGAGAGAGAGACAGAGAGAGAGATAGAGAGAGAGAGAGAGAGAGAGAGAGAGAGAGAGAGAGAGAGCGCCTCAAAAGTACACACGCGTGTATCACATCAAATTCACATCTGGCATTCATAAAAAATCCAAGCATCGACTTCTTAAAAAAAAACACTTCCAAAACCTTCATGGGGAAGAGAAGTGTGTCAAACAGTAGTAACAGAACTGAAATAAAGTAAAAAGACTAACCGGGAAAAGTAAATAAAATGCTATATTTTTAGTCAAGACACCAAAACACTAACCTATTTTCACTAAATGATTATTATTATTATTATTATTATTAATTGTTATTCATTTATTGAACATTATGTTCCATCTTTTATTTAATGGCTTTGAAATGTAAAGTTTGATTCAATTAACTTTATTCAATTAATTTTAAATACACATTTTCTCAGAGAAATGCGTGCGTTCTTTTTTGAAATTTTCATTTTAAACCCGAAACCTTTATTTAAACAACGGATATCATTTCAGTTTTAGGATCAAACCAGAATTCGCCAGTTTATCCATTTTATATTTTTTAAAATGGATCTTGAGTTTTTTTTTGCCTGATTAATAAAATTAAAAAGGGATGAAGGTTTGATTTCTGTCGGGGGCACAATTTTTCTTTAATAAGACTTTTCAAATATAGGCCGGTCGGTTGTTATTAATTTCACTGTTTAAGAAAATTAAAAAAAGGGATAACAAATCAAACACGTGTACTAATTTAAAAATAACGTACATAATTAACTTTATATACCAAAGAAATCAAATAGTGTGTGCATGTATGTGTGTGTGTGCGTTGAAAATAGTGCTAGTGGAGAGTCCAGGTAAACAAGGGAAGTGACAACGCTAGGAGAAGTCTACTTGTCCTAAAGGCCTCAGAAAAGGGTAGTTTGGGTGTTAGTGTTAGTTTGCCGCAAGAGTATACTAGGGGATGTATGGCTGTGATAGGTTAGTTTTGGGGTGTCGGTCAGTTTTATTTATTTATTCCTTGTCATTAAGTCATCATACGCAACGCAAAGTTTATGATTCGTCGGGAGATATTGCACGCTTATTTTTTTATATAAATATTTAATGAATCCCCAAAAAAAAAAAACAGAAGTGTTCCTTCCACCGCCCCTCGTGAATTCACAACTTACCTGTATTTATTTAATTTTCAAAAAAGTGCACATTAAAACTAAAATATCTATCTCTATCTATCTGTTCATTATCTATCTATCTATCTATCTATCTATCTATCTATCTATCTATCTATCTCTTCACAATCACATCTTTCTGTCTATCTATCTCAGTCTGTGCTTAGTCTATTATTCACATCTATCTCTTCACACCTATCTATCTATCTATCTATCTATCTATCTATCTATCTATCTATCTATCTCAGTCGACTCTCTATTCATATCTAATCTAAATTTTTTCATATCTATTTTTATCTCTCTCAGTCTCTTCACATCTATCTATTTATTATCTATCTACTCTTTTTTTTATTCATGAATCAGTCGTTGATAAAAAAATATTGCAGTTTTTCAGCTAACCGCAATTTCTCCTCCTCCTTTCTATATTTCATTCCCAAATTAACATCTTTGCCTCCTCTCTCTCTCTCTCTCTCTCTCTCTCTCTCTCTTTCCCTCCCTGTATAGTCTGTCTATTTCTTTTCTCTGCGTTTCTTTATTCCTCTTCATCGCGTTCTGTCTTTCTTTCAGATCCATCACTTTATCTTTCCCTACTCGTTTTCTTTCTTTCTTTCTTTCTTTCTTTCTTATCGTCATTTGATTCACTCTCTCTCTTCTAGGCCCTTAACTTCTTCCTCATCAATCAATTCATTTGCTTCTGCACTACTCTCTCTGTGTCTCTCTTTCCTTATTTCTTTCTTTCTCATCATCTTTACTTTACTGTTTCCTCCTCACACTGCGTCCGTCACTTCATCAGGTTTTCCTTTCCTTTTTTCTCTCTCCCAAGTTTCTTTCTTCCTTTCTTTATTTTTCTTCTAATCATTTCTTTCTTTCTTTCTTTCTTTCTTTCTTTCTTTCTTTCTTTCTTTCTTTTTTCCGTACTTCGGCAACTGATATTGTGACTTACTTCGAGACGGTAAAAAATAAAAACAGTTGCAAATTGAAACCCCGTGTTAAACAAGATTAGAGACAAAAAATGCATAGAAAAAATTTAAGTGAGAGGATGTTTTTGAGATTATTCGTTCCCCACTTTGATAAAAAGAAAGAAGATAAAATTGGCGCCGCTGCAAGGTAGAAAAAAAAAAGGAAGAAAAAAAGCAAAAAAGAAAGAACTTGTAATTATTCCGCACTTGAGGGGTGGGGGATATGCAACAATCCCACAATGTATTACACTACAACGAAAGGAATCACCACTTACAAACATTTTATTCGACAACGACATCATTTTGATGACATTGGTTCTTCCGGGGAGACTGTACGCTCCGTTTTCACCATTCATCATGAAAGACATCGACTTGAGTTCAAGAAGAAAAAAGACGTAAGTAAAAAAGGAGAAAAAAATGAATAAAAAACTTAAAAAAAAAAACCCTCTCATTAGACAAAGTGACAAGACAAAAAGAGAGAGGGGGCACCTGCTTAAAGTGCTTGGCGAAAAACAAATTTAGCTGTTAGAACGACCATAAGTGCTTAAAGTCTATAGTAAGTAACATTAACAATTCTACTAATTTAATTAAATATATATATATATATATATATATATGCGTGTGTGATTCGAAGATGTGTAATTAATGTCTCTTTCAATTTTTTGAACGCGAAAATTTTGTTTACTACATATTTTTATTACATGTAGAACTGATATCTATTTTTATTTAAATTAAATTTAAGAAATATGGTCTTATTGCAACTTTGATGTGCATATTGCGTTGTTTATTGGATTATATTAATTATTAGTGTTTGTTTATTTATCTTTTCCGAAGACTAAAAAAGCTAGTGGCATTTTTGCTTGAGGTTGACGAACAGACAGACGGATACATACATACATACATACATATATATATATATATATATATATCCTCGAAACAGCGCAAACAGATGATGAACACTAACAGCCTGCGAGATAGATAGATAGATAGATAGATAGATAGATAGATAGATAGATAGATAGATAGATAGATACTGTGATAGATAGAGATGAAGAGACTGTGATAGATAGATAGATGAAGAGACTGTGATAGATAGATAGATAGATAGATGAAGAGACTGTGATAGATAGATAGATGAAGAGACTGTGATAGATAGATAGATAGATAGATAGATAGATAGATAGATAGATAGATGAGACTGTGGTATAGATAGTTGCCTGTTTGCATTTCAGTTGTCATCTACGCTTCCTAAAATTTGACTCAACCGAGAAACACATTCATCCACAAGCGGCAAAGACGATGATTTAGTCAGCATCATCAAATAATAAATAAATAATCTGTTTACAAATCTAACCCAGCCCAAAACAACAAAAAATCTTTAACGGTCACTTGTAGAGTTTGCATTTTAATTACACCAATTCTAAATTCACTATTATTAGTAATTAAGTTAATTAACTATGTGAATTTAAAAAAGGAAAAAATAATGAAAAAAGAAATGAAATGGTATTTCAAATTTTTATTTATTTATTTTTTTTTTTTAACTTACCACTTTACTAAAACAAAATTTTAAATAAAATATGAATAATTTAAAACTTAAGTAGCTTTCTTTACTTTATCAAGAAGCCGAAAGACAAGAAAGATTTATCATCAATCACTCAGACTTGAATTAAAATAATAATTTAATTTAATTATATAAATTAAGTCCTTTGAGACTGAAATATTTTTGGTAAGCAAAAAGTAGTAAAAGATTTAGAAATCAAGTCCTGTGGTTCTTGCTGAAAAATGTGTATGACGTCATGGAAACATGTGAAAAATTCAGAACAAAAAAAACTTTTCGCTTGACATGTGTCAATTTGCATTTTTCTTGCTGTTGGAAAATTGAATAAAAAATAACAAAAAAAAAAAATCTTTTTAAAAATGATACAAGTCAAGTAATTTGGTCCCTTCTGCAAAAATTGTTTATGTTTGCGAGCGTCTGGTGTGGGTTTGTTGGGTTGATTTTCATTGCAAATATTGGACTTCCTTTTTTTTTTATTAGTAACTCAATTACTAAGTTAGCCCAGCTTATTTTAAAAGTAACGCTAAAACTCACAAGTAAAGGAATTCAAAATGTATTACTTATATCTTTCATATCCCCTCTAGTAACCCTCTTTCTACGATCAGCTGCTTTTGTGAATTCTACGCATATTTCCATGACGTCATATACACTTCAGCACGGACCACAATACTCGACTTGTACCAAAAGAAGAATCAAGAAAATAAATATCTTTTCGCATTTAAAAAGGTAGTAAAAAAAAGCTCCCTGATTGCTCCACTGTTGTAGCCTTGTACCAGATTAATCGATACTTTTTTTAGATTTTTTCTTTTATTGGTGTTCGATCTCCGATAAAAGTTGGGATTTCCTGCAGCATATTATACAGCCCCTCCCCTCACTTATTGGCGCAGCACAATCTCCCCATTTAATTTTCCACTTAATTTGGCCTTTTTTAAAAAGTCCGATCGTCGTGGAGTAAATGTTTTTTAGCAAGATTGCAATTTTGTAGTGAGTTCGATCCCACTGTTTGCTTTGTATTTGCATCCTTGTGTCGTACTGCGTTTAACTAAAAACGGTAGGGTATCCCACCCGCTACTACCCAAAAATGTACTCACTCTTTAAATGACAATAAAAATGCAGTGTTTCTTTATTAACTTGCAAACAAGATTAAATGGTTTTAAAAAAATTCCGAAATATTTTTTGACTTAGGAAGCCCACTTTAAAAACTGGCCTTGTGCCACATCTTGTCTTGTGGAGAGGTTGGTAAATGAAGAAGATTTAACAGTTTTAAATTAAATATTAAATGAAATGAAATTAATTGCATGTTTAAACATTCAACAAACGGACGATAAAGTCAAAAAATGAGTACACGGGGTGGGGTGTATTTTTTATTTAGTTAAAAAAACTAAAAGGTACTTTTGCTTATGAGGAAGAGGAAGTATTTTTATTATTGAGGAGGCTGTGTCTAAATTAAAATTTTAATTTTAATTTCAAAGTGCTCTGGATTCACATTGTCATAAGTTGTTGCGTTTTATTTTCTACCATTTATTTTACTGTAAAATGTAAATCATACAATTTTTACTTTTTTATCTTCCTTTAGGATTTAAAGTACTTAAATTAAAATAAAATATTACTACTTGTTTCATTATGAATTAAATATGACTTCTTAAAATATATTTAAATAATAAAAAAAAAAATACTGTTTTATTTTAAAAAATTACCTAATTTAAATGAAAATATTACTTATTGTACTTATTCCTACCCAGAAGCATAATTTTCTTTCTGATGGCTTCTTACCCTATCACAGCATACCATATGATTTTCCTTGCATTTTTTTGACACAGTTAAAATCATTTTAAAGTTTTTTTTAAATAAAATTAAATCATTCAAAAATAACATTTTAAAGCACTTTTATTTTTATTTTTATTTTAACCTTGTTTTATTTGACATAATTATTCATTTTTTTCTGTATATTTTCTTTCTTTTAAATGTCATGTCCGTTCAGGATATAGACAAACATGGCTCTTTCTTGAATACTTTTCTTTATTTTCTGCAAATTGCTATGAATTCTTGGGAAGGATGGTGAAGTGTTTTCCTGTTACTTTCTCCCCAGTTTGTAATTCAGAATAATCCTCCTAGACTGCCATCCAAGGATAGGGGGCCCTGTCTATACTGTTATTTTACCCATACCTAGAGGAAAAAGAGATAAATTCATGCCTTTCCCATATCTTTACTATTATTAAAAAGTTCTCACATTTGAGTTTTTAAATATATTTTTCAAATTATTATTATGTAGTAATTTGGGAGGGGGGTCAGTTTATTACTTAATAATGATAGAAAACTGAGCCTCCACTTTTTAACCAAACAATGTCCAGTCATGACATAGACAATCATGGCTCTCCACAGTTTCCTTTTCTTTATTATCTTTGAATTGTTTTGACTTATTGGGAAAGACAGAACTGGCCTCCTAGATTAGCTGTTAAGCAAGGCTAGAGAGCTTAGTTTATCCTACTATTTAACCTATAACACAGCATAGCTTATAACTTTCCTTTCATGAAAGATAAGATTGCTAACCATCACAAAACTATTGGCAATCTATATTCACCAGATTCAGTCCAGCACAACCACTTTTATTTTCTTTACTTCAGAGCACACTTGGAGAATAACTAAAACTCTTAGGTACACTTTAAATTTTAATAAGGCAAAAATTAGTCATGACATTTGAAAAATATGAAATTTTGGTTTAGCATTCCCAGAGATTAGCAGCACAGTTTTGATTTAAAGACACTTATGAATAAAACACACACACACACACACACACACACACACACTTCCATAAACAAAAACTTATTTAATCTGAAAAAAGTCTTTGAAGGTCAAAATACATAACATAAACCCATTGGATTTTTTTAAAAAGCAATTCATGATACAAAATGATGAGGCAACAATATTATCAATTTTATCAATTACAAGTTTGGTTTCGTTTAGGTTTCTTTTGTTTTATGGCATATCAACCTCAATGGGTTATTTAATGCTGACAAGATTTTTATTGCTAATATTTTTTTTTCAAAAATGTATTGCTGGTATTTTTTTTCTAACCCTAACCCTGGTATTTCTTTTTTCAAAAGATATTGCTGGTAATAATTTTTCTTCAAAAATTTATTGCTGGTAATAATTTTTTACAAAGTATTTCTTGGTGGGGGGTAACTATTTGCCCATAGATGGGACCCTAACAAGTGCTACCACCCCAGGTCAGGGTGGACCCGGGAACACCAGTAATTAAGAAGTTGTTCATACCCAGGACGGATTAGTTACAGATTTTATTTTGTATTTAAAGATTTTATTTTGTATTTAAAGATGGTGAAAGAAGGTTTATTGTTCCACTGGGATGCATAGTTAACACATTGTGTGAAAATTTGGAGTAATTGCTTAAAACAGGTTTACT